AGAAAAAGAACTTTAACTTAATTTTTAAAAATTAAGTAAATTTTTAAATTATCTTTGTTTTACTTTTTTCTCAAATCTTTCATACTTACAAATGTCTAAAATATACTTATAAAATTTGGCAGAAATATGCTTATTATGATGATTAAGATTCTCACCTATATCCAATAAATGCAATTTCAGTCAAAATCTCCTGCCTCAAATATTGAGATTCCATGTTCACTAGACCTGGGAAGAAGTCACTGATTCACCTTAGTTTCAATTAGTTCAGTTCTACTAATTCTACCAACTAAAAATTATTTTCTGGGCTTGTGACTAGTTGTCTACTTTGTAGCCATAAATATTACTGAAAATATTAATAATAAAGAGCTACATTATTTTATAATATATTTACCAAATAACAATTGTAGGAAAAACTGTTAATGTAGAAGTAATCTCATCTCCTACAGAAACATATCTGAAAGTAAATTTATTTTTAACCAGCATCATCTTCAGGTCCATAATTGAGATATTTGTTAATATAATCAATTTGTAATCCTTTTCATACTTGTGAAAGGCATATTATCAAAACAGTATGATTTTAAACCAAATTTTCATTAAATTTTAGAAAAAAATGCTAAATGGGAATAAGAATAATTGATTGGCTTCCTTGCAATATATGTGAGTAAATAATGACTAAAAAATATATGTTTTATATATATATATATTTATATCTAAAATTATGTTATGGAAAGGCAAAACCAAAATGGTTTTAGAGTAAGAGATGGGCAGTTTGGTGGCCAAGGCACACAGCAAAATTGCCATTTCGTTTCGATGTGACAACAGTCTTTTTGGCAGCAGATTAGTTTAACATTGAACATCCTACCAAAACAGTAATCCATTTCCATGTGCATAATAGTTCATTGTTGCCCTTCACTGTACATTAAATGTCACCCATTATTGTGGCAGGAATACAAAAACTATTGCACACAAGTCAGGAGCCAAGATCAAAGCTGTTAACGCATGCACTTTGGACATGGTTTTCTGAACTTAGTTAAACCATCAAAAACACTATGTTTGGAACATCTTTACTTCTGAGTGCCAAGAGATATACAGAATACTTTTACCAGTATAAGGACTCTCAGTAAGGCAACAGCCTTATCATCTTGTGGACCATGGACCATGTTAGAGCCAAAACATATATTCTGGTGGTCATAGTAATAAACCCTTCAGCTGATCTAAGGATAGCACCCCCTGCTGCCTAACTCAATAATACAATACACAGTATTCTAATGTTCTGAAAATAATGCAAAGCAATTAAATGCAAAATATACAAGCAATTTTATACTCTTTTTTATGCTTAAAAACTAATGTTATGTATTTAACACATTGAATATTTTTTTTATTTTTTTCTTCTTGCTATGAAGGGTCTGATTAGTCAATGTTGCTTACCTTATTTTACTCTTTTCCCTATTTCAACCATACTCATTTGTTCATTTAAGTAGTCTAAAAAATTCTATAAATAATATCCTTACTAGAAAATTTGATATAGTACTATTTTTCTTCTCCAGAGTTTATTTGTATTTAATTTTTAAATATCAATGTCAGAATAAAATATTTGATGTTTTTCATATACTCAGGGGATAATTACTATGGTTACTTCAATCCTGTTGGAGAGAAATGTGTGCACCATTCTTTTTTTTTTTTCTGGTCCTTAGTTTTTCATCTCTGTATGACAAACTACTGAGAACCCTGGACCAGATTTACATGCTGTATTTCAATACAGTTCTGGTTGTCTTGGATACAACTATGGTTAAAAGAAAAAAAAACTGTAATATTATGAGAATTTAAATGGACTTATTTTATAAGTAGCATCTAGTGTACCAATATCATCAGGTTTTCATGAAGGAAATATTTGAAGCAAGGTGAAAAATACCTCTCATGATTAGTGTAAAGGGTGGGTTCCGTAACCAGTTTTTATATAACTAACTGACATTTTTATACTGATAAACCTAGGTCAAAGAAAAAGAGAATAGAAAGGAACAAGTGTGATTAGGTACAAGCCCATAATGGACAAGACTTCTTCCTAATCCTCTGCGAGAAAAAAACTACTGTTCGGATACTTGGGACATGCCGTTCTTTGTCTAGAAAACCATGACCCGGGCCCATCTTTACTCCTCAATCAGATTTCTCAGCTAATTCAGGGAAGCACGCTGGTTATGTCATTATGCTACAAACAACATTGCCACTGTTTGCAAGATATCAGAGACTATAAACCAAACCCGGACATACAAATAAGACCACATAACTATTGTAAATACTGACTTTAAAACTTAGAACATTTGTTTAGTATTTTTTTAGATCAGTTTTTCCATATAAAATAAGAGTAAGGGAAAAAATTTTAAATGTATTATTACAATCACAGTCTACTTTTAAATTCAATTTTTAAAAACAAATGATAACATTTATGATCAGCTCTTAATTGATCATAAAATTAATATTGTTAATACTATGATACAACAGATAATTTAATAAACCTCAAATCTGTTATTCTAATAATTAACAGTCTACTTTATAGTCTATTTTATAGTTGTGAATTTTTCTCCAGTGAAATAGGTTACCAGTGATTTTTTTCTTAGAAAAATATATTTAAAAGAATGGCACTCATGAAAAATGGGGTAATTATCAACTACTTTTATGAACGTCATTCAAGGCCAATAGGTATTTATTCTTAGGTAAAATGAAAATGCTATATTTGTTTTAAATTGATAAAAAATATCACAATTCCATTTAAATTAATAGGTAATTAACTTCTACAATTGAAACTTGTAATTGTTTCTGTATTTGCATTCATGAACTTCTTCCATGGAAGAAGAACTCAATACTATATGTCAAGGTAGATTTTAATTTAAAAAAGCATTTGGTTTGGGAGTTTCAGTTTGGAATTTAAAATGGCTCTAAGAAATTTTTACTGCATTTTTTAAAACTTATTTTAGCAAGAATATCTAAAACTATTTATTATGTAATATAGGATATCTAACTATTTATTGTATAATAGAAACAGGTGTACCTGCAGATTTTTTCTGTATTTTTCTTCTATGCCTTGCAATATTATTGTTCTGTTTCCCTTGGGGACAGATTTCAAAGTCTTCTGGACATTGAATAATTTAATCTTTAAGACTTGGACTCATCTCTGAATACATTTGAAACAGGATGGCTTTTGTTAGTCACCATAAAGTGTATGTGTGTGTATATATATGTAAATATACACATATATTCATATATGTATAAATGCACATATATTTACATATATAAATATAAATTGTGTGACCATATATATATAGTCAAAGATGCTCTAAAATAAGAAAGCTATTTTATTTTCATAAGACATGAAAGAACCTAGAGCTAAAAGCCTGAGATCTTTATACTCTAATTTATCCTGGGGACAGGAACTTTAAATAGCAGTGTTAACACTCTTGACCAAACAGCTGCAAAAGTTATATGTATAAATGGTTCCAACAGGAGTTTTCAGTCAAAGCTAAGTGATAGTTGCCTGAAGTACTCAAATGCTAATATTGAAGCAACTAGCTGTAATATTATAAATTTGTAAAACATTTATGCATAAATATATCAAAATATTTGTGTATAAGAAATGAATATATAAAAATACATAAAAATATTATGCTATTACCATAACTATTTTATTTTCTTTTAATTGAGTGAAGTAAATGTTTTTACTGCTGGGAAAATATGTATGACTTCACTGTAAAAATACTAACTTCAAGGAAAAATAAATACTTTAGTGATAAATTGATCAGAAGAACCTATTTAATGTAATTAAAAACATTTAATGTTAATGTTATGGCAAAAATATTAATAGTCATATATTATAAATTTTATCAATGTGAAATAACTATATCTAAAATTCTAATTTATTTTGGGTTTAGAGCAATCTTTTTATATGTACTAAAATACAAAGATTCGAAGTTAATAATAAATATAGGACTTTCAAATTCATTAGAGTAATAATAGTGTTCTGAGTCCTGAGGGATGGTTTTATGTTCTTAATAAAGGCAGAAGAAAACTTATATTGAAATGGTCTAGTTGTTAAAAATTTGATAGTGAGGTAAGCACAAATGAGAAATGATTACAAATTTCCACCTCCAAAGTAATAATAAATTAGCAAAAATTAACATAATTAAGCCATATCATTTATTGTAAAGGCCATTATGTAAATATAAAGGCATTTTTCTTTTCTGGGGTATGTGAGGGAGAGTGTGAATTCAGTCCCCCATTAGCACAAATTATGCAATGAAGTTTCCCACATTTGGGGAAATCACATGGTCAGCACATCCTGAGAGCAAGGGATATGCCTCGCCCTGGAAAACCACCTTCAGGATCATGGTATCTCCCCTGCTAGTTAAGTATACACAGAACTACTTACTTTTCAATTGGGCATTTGAGTTCTGATTCTTTGATTGAAATAAACTGTACATGTCAACAAAATAAGGCAGTATATGTGGTGATACATTTATTATTTGAAAAAATGATAAATTGTATGTATAAAAACATGGTAATCTTTTTATATTTCAAATGTTTATTTTTAATTAGATTTGGTTCAGTTAAAAAGAAGGCACCTTTTAAATTTTACCCATTTGTTTTTTCTTATGATTGATTTATTAATTCAAATTGATAAAAACATACTAGTATTTTACTCTCTGGTTCAAGGGAAATCTTCAAAATGAAATCGTTCTTACATCATGGTGATTAGGACTGCTTTTAGATTCTGAATAAAAAGAGTAAATTCTACCACGAATATAGCTTACTGACACAACCAGCATGCTTTCTGCTCCCGAAGGCATCCTAGGACATTTTAATAAGTTATGTGACTCTTAAAAGTTCATTGTTCATCAGTACACCCATGGGAAATAAAGAAAAAGAAAACTGATTGTGACTTTTGACAATTATTAGTTAGAAAAAGGAAGTAACAATTGCCAAAAAAATCACAAAAGTGAGCATGTTACCTGGCTATGACAAAGAGCACACAACTGACACCCAAGTAAGCCAGCAGAATATACATCCAGATATCAGGGGAGAGAGGATTCAGGAAGGAGAAGACGCCTGGGTTTGTACCATTGGGCTTGCGGTACAAAATACTTATTCCAAGTGTCATAAAGGGCTTGGAAAAGTCGATGACCTTCTCTCGGACGTAGGTAATAGCCAGTGGAGCAACTGCAAGGTCAGCTTTCTGTAGAGAGAAATATAAAAAAGAAAAACAAAGAAACGGTTATAAGTCATAAGAAAAAAGTCAGTAACCCAATTAAAACAAACATTACATTTGAGAACTGTCTCAGTAACAATTACATTAACATTTAAAGCATTCTTCACTCTGCCTTGAAGTATTGATTTACTCTGCTACTCATTTCTATGTGCTTCTAGATTAGCAAACCAAAATTTATTGCCAAGTATAAAGGAAAAGAAAAAATATGATGAAAACACTGAAGAAACAATTATATATTCAGTGCCTGAATCGTTATACTACTAAACATTTATAATTTTTAAGTACTTTGGTCAAATTCTAAGTGGTAATATTAAGAAGTTAATAATCATTTTTCTTATTTTAACACTACTGAGCACAGTTAAAAGCTTTTAGTCTTTAAATAGTTAACATTGTGAAAAATCACCTTTTAATTTGATGTTGTTTACTGTCCTGGAGTTTTCTTTCTATCCCTCTAATTTGTTTTATATTATTTAATGAAAATCTTTGCAGCTTTGCCTAAATCTCATTAGGAAATGAGTTTTTCAATTTTTATAAAGTTGCTAATTTTCTACGGTAGCTTAAATATGTTAAATTGCTAATGCTTTTCACTCATCATGTTATAACCATCTGTCAGGGATGAACTTAAACTCTAATATGTTGAAAGGAATAATTATAATATTTTAAAATAACATAGGCATCTATTTCTATATATGATGGAAAGCTATATTTCTCCATTTCTTTTATTTTCACAAACATATTTAGTTTTCAGACAATATAGAGGAAATGCTCATTATAGATAGAAAGACATATAAAAAAATAAAATTGGGCCTCTACTATTTCCTTGGCTCAGGAATTGTTGGAGTACTTACAGAAGAAACTTCCCTAGGTGGGTAGGTTTGTGAAACTGCTATTTTGGATGTGTATTTGTGTGCATTTGTAGGCATAGGGAGAAAAAGATAGCTCACAGATGCTTGGATATGGTATCTCTGAGAGTGTCTATGGAGGGAGTAAGACATTTCCCTCAATATTCTGTAAGCGACCCACTTGTCCAGAAGGAGCCGACATCAGCTGGGGTCACAACAGCCATCATGCTCTGCAGTTGAATTTCAGAGGGTGTGGGGCGGACTCCAAGCAAGGAATTGCATTATCTCCAGTTGCAGAACCTACAGGATATGAATGTGTCCTTCATATTTGACTGGATTTATAGTGGTTTCAGAAGTGTGGTACCATTTTTAGGATTATATAAGAACACTGGTAAGTTGGTATTTACTGGATGGGATAATGCAGGAGAAACAACATTCTACACACGCTAAAGATGACAGACTTGGACAATGTGTCCCAACATTAAGTCCCACTTCAGAAGAACCAACGAATTCTGCTATGACCTTTACAACTTTTGATCTGAGTGGGTATGTTCAAGTTTGTAGAGTGTGGGAAAAACTATCAAATGGCATTTATTTCTGGTGGGTTATGCAGAATATGAAAGGCTCTTAGAAATCAACGAAGAGCTTGGTTCACTAATGACTGATGAAACCATTGCTAGTGCCTATACTAATTCTTGGGAATAAGCCATCAGTGAAGAGAGACTACAAGAGATGTTTGGAACTTTCTATGTCCTATGTGCTCACAAGGCAACGTTCCAGAGAAGGCTTCCACTGGAAGGCACAGTGCATCAGTTAACGCCAACCAACCTTGAGTTCAGGTCTCGCCATTCAGGCCTACTTAGAGATTTGATTGTTGAACTTGAATAATTTGAATTCAGTAGACTTTCATTGGTTAAAAAAGAGATGTATTTCAGATTATTAATATATTAATTTAATTTGAGTAAGAATCTGACTCAAGTCTGAATATCACAATATTAACTTTCCAATTCCATAAAGATAATTAATTTTTTACAATTTATAATCTGACATGACCCCCAGTGCCATTTATAAAAAATTACTGTCCTGTAGTATACTTGATAAACATTTTAACAACATAAAAGCTACAAATATAGACCATAATTAAAAGCTCATCATGTAAATTTTTGTTCGCATTTTAGCTAGTTTTTAAATTTTAGATTATATGTCCACCTCTCTTAAGTGTAGTTAATAATTAGCTTATTGATGATTGCATGATGCCTCTCAAGTTTCAAAACTATTTTTCTTATTCAAACATGCAATAACACAAACCCTCATGTTTGTCCAAAAATAAAAAGGAAATAAAAGCACATCTTCTCAGTCCTGGGGTAGGTATAATCATATTTCATATTCACAATCAAGAAAATATCAATTTCATAATAATAATTACTAATATCTATTAAGCATTTATCACTGGCATTGTGATAAAAAACTTTACATGAATTTTCACAATTAATCCTTACACAGCCCTACCATTATTCTCATTTTCAGATAAGAAAATTAAAATCATGTCAAGTTAAAATCTCATTCTTTTGCTCAGAGCTAATTGAGTATTAGAAATAGATCATAAAACCAAGCTGTAGAAATCTATACCTGGAAGCAATGATGACATGTTTTTCAGAAACCAGAGATGAAATCATGGAGAACTCATTCCTTTCACTCATTCACTCATTCATTCCTTCATGAGTTTGTAGAGATGGGAAGGAAAATACATGGAAGCAAAGGCAGTAATTAACAGACTACAGTCTGAGAGAATTTTGAGGGTAGGTAGAGAGTTCAGGCAGAGAGAGTATGTTGCACAGGAAGGAGACAGCACTCGCTCTGACACAGAAAGAAAAGAAGACAGCTTGAAAACTACACAGCTTTGTTAGGGAAACAGACATTCCAGGCTGAAAAAATGGGTGATGTGAAGTGGTGGTTTGCTCCGGTTTGGGATTGAATAGTGCACAGCAGTTAAGCATTGTGCTTCTTTGTAATCTCCCTCTTCCTAGGGCAGGGAAAGCAAAATTCCACCACATATAAAGCAAATAAGTGAGTATGTTTTGAACTGGTAAAAAAAGTTTTAATTCAAAATCGATTATTAGCAAAATTAAAGAAACAATTCAAATAACATATTAAAAAATAAAACCAATACATTATTCCAAAAAATTGTTATATAGGCATATACCAATAAGATTGACAAGATAGACATCAAATTTCAGAATTTATTTAGCATTACCTAAAATACAATTCTGATTTCAAATATAAAATGGAAAAAAGACCAAAACTTACATAGTAAAATACTTTCAAGTTAAAACAGCAAAATACTTTCTTTTATAACAAGTTATAAAAGAAACTTGTTATTTGAAACAAAATATATAAACATTTAATCAATAATAAATCAATCAACAGACCATGGTACATAAATATAATGAAATATTATTCAGAAATAACAGGAAATGAGCTACCATGCCAAAAGAAACATGAAAGAATCCTAAATGTGTTTGGTTAAGTGAAGGAAATCAGTCTGAAAGGTTATACAGCATGATTCCAATTATCTGACATTTTGAAAAAGGCAAAACTATGGACTATAAAGATCTGTGGCTGCCAAAGTCTCAAAGGGGAACTGGGGTGTAATGAATAGGTGGGGCACAGAACATTTTTAGGGCAGTCAAGCTACTCTGCCAGAACTGTAATGGTGGGTACAGTAACACCATGCATTTATCAAAGGCTATAAAACTGTAGGACACAAAGAATAAACCCTATGAATGCACAGAAATATGATCAAATCACTAGAGAGCTGTAGGAAGGGGATGGGTGTGGGAGGAGGTTGTCCAAGGCAATGGTAAACAGCCTGGCACTGGATTAGCTGAGAAGCTGAATGCCTCCAGGGCACATGGAATTATGGGTGAGAGGACTGGTAATAAAAGAAACACTCTTGGGCTCTAAGACTCTCTGACTGGCTGGCTCTGAGTCTCGGTCTCTTCTTCCAGGATGCCTGGATGGTTGTGCCAGCCGCCTTCATTTCCCAACGGATGGTATTTTTGATGGGAAGGAATTCCAGGCACAGCCTAGGATCAGGCTGGCCTGGCAGAAGGTGGCAGGGTTATTTTTCTTTGGGTGTTCTAGAGGGAATAGTCTCTGAGGCATAAGCCTGCTATTATTCCAAAACTGTGTAGCTTTTCTACTTTATGTTGTTTTAGTTTGTAAACTAATGCTATAGAAATAAGATAATTAAAAGTGGGAAGGGGAAGGATAGGAGAACTCAGGTTAACTAGGTTGAATTTAGCCTTGGTTGATAAACTTAAGTGATTAAAGCTGTAACCAAAGAGTTAAAGAGTTTAGCTTTCACTGATAGGCTTAAGTGACTAATGCATGTAGAAAGCCGTTATTCCAAAGCCGTTGCTTTGGAATAAAGACTACTTTCCTTTTGCCTCTAGAATTGTGCCTCACTTGCTGTTCAGTAACACTACTGTATAGACTTGAGTAACAATAATGCATCAATGACTGTTCATCAGAAGTAATGGCAGTGAAACACTAAAGGAAGTCGTTATTAAAAGAAAGAGTGTGGGTGAGTAGGATGGGAGAAGGTGTATGGAAACTCTACTTTCTGTATAGTTTTTCTATAAATCTAAAACCTCTCTTTAAAAAGTTTATTTTTAAAAAAAATGTTTTAACTACATCGCTATAGTATTAATAGTAAAACACATAAAACTTATAAAATATAAACTGTCAAATTAAGCAGTCTCTAATTGCACAAAAATATATTTTTAACCCCATTCAAACGATCCTCAGAATTATCTTGCAGCAGTAAGGATGAACATTCATTTGTACATAATAGCCTGAATGTTTATAGGTACAAATATTTATTTGTACCTATAAATAAGATCTAACTTCATTAGAAGTCTATTAATAATATAATCATTTTGAAATCTAATTGAAATGTCGTAATAAACATGTTTGTAATGATAGATGTAGTATCTGCTAATCAAATCTCATCTTATTAAAGACTGAGTAGTAAAAGAAAAGAGCCTGACAATAAAATTCAATCAAGAAGTTTGTATCTCTGTAGATACAGGTTATGATTTAATGAAAATAGATTTACTAATT